CTGACGTTTACAATTGTGAAAACGCACTCCTTTTGTAGGCGCGAATGAAACTTGTTATCTTGGCCTATATATAGCTAGCAAATGTAATTGCAAGAGCGATAATGACTGCTAGTTGCCATAGTTTTCTCGAATTTGCAAAATATTAAACATAAGAAAATAAACAAAAATAGAAAGAATTTATTAAAATTATTTGCTCGTCGCTTTTTTTATTATATGTGCTTTATATTTATTGCAGCTGTTTTACTGTAATATTTTTATGTTAATAATAAAAATTGTAAGATAGATTTTTGTTTTAAAAAATATAAAAGAATATAAAATATGTAGAGAGGGACATGTATACTTTAAATTTAGTGTTTTTATAAAAATCTTTTAATTAAGATTTAAACTTTAATAATTAATATTTAGGTTTTTTATAAAATATTGTTCCATTTAGAAGACGTTTTATAAAAAGATTTTTTTAATAAAATACTAAAATTCGAAAAGCTTGGAACACATGAGCATATTTAAATTTTCATATTACTTAAAAAAATCTTAATCACACTCTTTATGACATCAAATATATATTTTTATTATATTTAAAATTTCTTTTGTTTCTTCAATTTAATTTAAAAATCCAACAATAGCGGTTTAAATTCAAGTGTGAATTATTCAAGAGAAAAGAGAGAAACGGTTATTATTTTCTAATCCACCCTAGCGCAGCAGGCAAATTGAAATCGCAAATAAAGGGGCTTCGTGTTACAAGTCGAGCAGCTCCCGTTCAAGATAAGGACCAGTTCTTGTTCCTTATAAAATATTCATTACGTAGCTTCCAGGTCACTAGCGCTTAGAATCTAAGATGTGAGTTACGTCTCGCTTCGCGGTTCTCTCGCGAATTTCGACCTGACAGTGGCAGGTTGATTAAGTACATGACAAGCAGGCTGCAAAGAAACACCAAGACTCACGCCCGGCGCTATCTTGCTCGGAATAACTCGGGCCTAGTCGTGATTTCGCATAGATTCCGCAAACATGATTCAGGAAGCGTCAGATTTCGCGTCGGCAAAAACGTTGGAAGGTGCGACACGACCGCAAAAGTGAAATTGCAGTTTAACATGAAGGAGCAAGGCTCTGCGCCTGACAAATCAATCCGCTATACAATTTCTTCGTCGATTCTCCGTGACTCGAAACTGTCATGTGATGTGCATCTTGCGCACGGTGCTAACTAAAAATATGTGTGAAAGTAAAAATGGAATGCGAGATTTTAGCGATTCGGAGTGCATCGTGCAATGCGCATCTGCTTGTGACAGGAAGCGACCGATTTTACAGCAACGGGAGAGACATTAAAGGAGACAAGACCGTGACCGGGAAGTAAAGCTCCGTGATCAAATAAATACAATGTACGAAATAAAGATCCATATATTTCGTCGGGATATTAAACCAACGAATTTCATATGCAACGTTCAGTATATGAATGCATACGTTAAAAATATATATAAAAGAAAAAGTAATAGACAGCAAGAAAATAAAAGAGAAAAGGAATTAAACGATTTGAGATTATGAAGCGTTACATCTTTTGTTTAAATAAAATTGCACTTCAAACGCGAAAACAGAGCCGGAAACGTGGCCATGTTAAATCATATTAAAGCTACACAAAAATAATATCTTCTTATAATATTTCTTATATTTCTTTTTTATTTTTTATCATTCTTTGTCCTGACGTCATTGTGCTATTTATTTACTGCGATAAAATTTTGATAACGAAATAACTAAGCCTTTTTAAACACGGCAACATATATAATACATAGATTAAGCATTCCAAGGATTATCGTTACAAGACGCGGCTCACATCGCGAATCATATAATAATTGATTAATTATAAGATATAATATGATTTAAGCACTGACTGCTTTCAAATACAACTCGGTTAAAATACATTTGTATTACAGATGTATATAATGTTCATTGCGAGTTTGATTAGCTTCGCTGATCTGCGCATCTTTAATATTAACGAGCCGCAAAAGGCATTTCATGATACGAACCGTATCAGTTGAGCGAGTTCACTTAGGTTCAGACTCGACTCGGAATATAATCAAGCGCTGCTCCATTTCCCGCGAGATCACGCCGGTGGAAGCCGATGGGGGCGAGGAAGTGGGAGGCAGAAAGGTGGGATCCTTTTACACGAGTCGATTTGCACGAGTTGTGTACCGAATGGTACAGTATGAGTGGAACGAAGTTCACGAGGTCGGATCTAACGGACAGGTCTAATGCAACGATTATCGGCGCTGAGTTATTAGACTTAACTGAAAGGGAGGACGGAGTCGATTCGTCAAGACCTGTCGCGTTTTAAAATTGCGTGGGAGCGATTGCGGTGACTCCGCGATAAGCCGCTCCCCTCGTGATTAGGCGGGGAAGGTGCATATATCTAAAGCGAGGTGTCTCGGAACGCAAGCCTCTTTGAGGCGGTTGCAGCTCTTTGTTGGCTAATCTCATATACAATTTCACTTTCGCATTCTGCATTGCCACACGGACTCGGCACGGTAGCACGATCGTGTGTGACGGTTGGTCTTTGCAACGTCCGGTATCCCGCTGGAAGAAAAGACGGGGAGAAATGCGCGCGACTCTTTATGGGGCACGACGTTGAACTTATGCCGCGATCTATGGACACGCGGCGCGGATGCGGATGAGACTACAAAGACGATGTTTAGGTGGGCGGGCGTGTTGGAAAGTTTCTAAACATGCTTGCAATTTATTCTCCGAGTTCGAGCGCGTCCCGTCTTATTCGCGTTAGACAATTTAACGAATGTCTTTACGTGAATGTAGCTGGTAACACCTGCGGATTCGCTTGTAAAAAGTACTCCCACTCGCAATCAATTATACTGCTCGCTCTGCAATGGTCGGCGGCTTCTTTCTTACTCCCAAACACGCGTTCGATTCAATCGAAAGTTACGTTTCTCTTAATATCATTAGGCAAGCACGATTTAGTATAGGCCACTTTGAAAAGCATTTATATCGATGGCTAAAGGAGGAGGATATTAAGAAAGCTTTCTCTTTTCAAATTTGAATTATTATTTTTAAATTCCTGTATTAAACGTTTAAATTGCTTCTGAGAAAAAAGAATAATTTCTGAAAGCGTGTGAAAGAATTATTTATATAAAAAATCAACTGGATAGAAGAGGACAAGTATAAGAATTTAAAAAAAAATCTCTCCCATAAGAAAAGATCATTCAGACAGGGAAATAAATGCAGCCAAAAGATTCAGCTCATTTGCCTCCCATGCAGTGTAAACAAGGATTAAACCTGACTTATTTTATTTGCAACAAATTTCAATGTTTTATACGGCGAGAAGAATAAATACTTTTTTATACGATTCTCGCACAAGACTTGAAACATCCAATCAATCCTACGCTATAATAATCGAGGACATTGGAAACTGTCCAGTCGAGGAGCTCCAAGACTGTAGCTGGCGATATGCCGCGGGATTCGCCACATCAATCCAAGGATTGGTGTTACGTCAACGACTTGCACGCTCGTTCGTGCAATTTATAACTCCCACTTGTGCTTTCCGAGAGTACGAGATCAAGACGAATCGCGCTTCAGCCTCTCCTCCGCTTGACCTCCAACCGTGGCGCCGCGGTTGACCATGCTTAATAGTTTCTACTTCGAAGGAGAGAGAGAGAGAAAAAGGAGAAAAAGGAACGGGAAGAGAAGGGAGGAAAGAGAGAGAGAGAGAAGATTTCCGTCCCGAGGCTAGACTATAAATCGTATCGCGGAGCTTATCAGAGTGGGATATTCGTCCGAAGTACCGAAGCCCTTCCTCTCCCTCTCTCTTTCTTTCTGGAAATAAAAGAAACATGGCAGAGGTGAAAAAAGGAACAGGAGGAAGGGGAAGAAAACGATCGAGAATTCAGACCCGGGTTTGCCGACCGGAGCGCTCACTGACCCCTGACGGCTCAAGCCGAAGCGGACGTCACGAGAGAAACCTTTACCTTCGTTACCTTGGTAGTATTTAAGGATCTTCTTCAGCGCGCCGTATATACAGCTATGCAAGTACTTAGATCTTTATCCGACATTGCCCGTCATGAGGAGATACTCCACTGAACCTGAAACCTCCTCGAGAGCCATTATCGGTTTGCGAGATACTACCTCCTCCGTAACGAATTGCCTATGAAATTGTACCTTGCGTCCTAAGTATGGCATAATAGGCGACGAGACGGTATTAGAATATTCGAATGGCCGGGGTGTTCATGACGTGCGTCATTGAAAATTCGATTGTTCGACGCGGATAATAAATAATCGTCCGCGGAGAGCAATCAGATCGTTGAATTTCACGCCCGCTTACTTCCAATTCGATTGTGATCGTTAAGTGCTGCTTTGCGTAATAAACGCGCGAGTAGATAAAACCGAACCGACCGGTTGCTTAAAATCGGCGTCTCGTAATGCTCGAGTGACATTCAAAGGTTCCGAATGCGGTCAACGTGCCGGATTTAATCGAGATTTCAATACCGAGAGCTCGTTTACTCGCTATTCTCTCTCGATCTCGTCACTTTCCTTAAAAGACCGCTGAAATGTAGTCGAGGGCGCGATCAGGATGGGGGTCCTCTTGCGATGCTATTTATCATGGTGTTCTTTTCCTCGACGTGTCTCGTGATCCGATCGGTACTGATAACGGTACACGACGACAGAACACACACACACACACACGCATAAAAGTACCTGCGCACATTATTCAAACGCGCGTCATCGGCTCATTCGAGACGAGGGTAACTGCGTTTGCCGCGGCCGAGCACTTTACACACACATGAACCAATTAATTTCTAGAAATGGCAGCAAGTTAATTACGTTATTGGTCATTATAAGACATTTTGTTGCGCAATAAGCTTGTTCCCTCGCCTTAGATAAGAAACCGCTTACGGTTTCAACCAATAACAGTGGAAAATGATAATTTACAACCAATAACAGTGGAAAATGATAATTTTAATTATGCAATAACAGGATCATATAAGTCGCGAATGTTGTAGCGAATATGTACATTGTCTATTTGTGTTGCGCGACCTAACGAAGCATTTCCTCGATATTCTCATAACTTGAAAAATATAGCGAAATGTTGTCGGCCCGGATTCTCACTGTATTCCTTGGTATCATCAGCAGCTCTATTGTAAGTATTTCGGATATTGATATGAAATATCAGTTCCCGATCAGTTTAATTGTTAGAAAAAATTCTTAATAAATAAATTTTTAATTCTTTTATTCTCAGAGATAGAGGTAAAATTTCTTGATATAAAAAAATTACTTTACAGGCTCTCATTTCATATACCAGCACACTCATGCGCGAATCTATGACGGTTTATGACACTTCTATTTTTTCTCTTAAAGAATTAGACAATAATACAGTGTATTTACAAATTAAGAAAAAAATTTTGGAAACTGACAAATTATATGTGAGTAACAGAAAATATTTTTAATCTTTAAATATAAAAATAATAAATAACTATATTGCATATTTATTTATATTTTATAAAAAATAAAATTTCATAAATAAAATTGTTCTATAACAACAATAAGAATTTTTCATCTGGCTTGAAAAAGATAAAACAAATCTAAGCTTTAATGTTTTAAAATACAAGACTTGTCTTTTTGAAATTTTTTCTACTTGAAATTTATCAATTTTGTATTTCATATTATTATAGAAAATATAATATTTATTAAGTTTATAAAATATAAAAAAATTCTTCTTATGCTTTTTATATCGAATAAAACTTCTGTTACCATGTTAGTTAAATATTGTGCTGGAAAGATTCGATGGCGTGAAATTCCCTATTCCGGAAGATCCTATACGATTATGTAAACTCTTGGAGGAAGAAGCAAAACATGATAACATCCTCTCCAAATTACGATTTTCACGTGTTTTCAATATGGAAGGAATGCATTGTCCTATACCTGCTGTAAGTTGAAAGTTATTTAAATTGTTAAAAATTTATTGAAAAATAATATATATTTCACAGATAATATTATATAATATTATATAATATTTGAATTATTCATTAATACAGGGAAAAAGGAAGCTGATGCCATATTTTTTTCCGCAGTATTTCAAGTTGTATAACGATATTGGTTGCGGATTATTTAGATGCAAAGTAATTATAGAATTATGCGACGAAGAAACGTTGCAAACCTGCATGCCACTGATCTCTGAGGAAATAATCGTAGAAATGCAAGCAGAATATTGCTCCAACATCTTAATGTAAAAATTAATATTTTTTCATGGTGTTAATAAGAGAAATAAAAATTGACAAATTATTATACAATATATTATTCGATATGTTTAATGTAACGACTTTTTCTCTAATTCTCTTCTAATACTGCAACTTAACATAGAATCAGATCACGAAAATAGTTAGTTGTAGACTTGTGTAGACTCCACGAGAATTTATAACTTGATTACATAAGCTCGTGATAGACAATATCACGCCGTTTATCGAATTTTTCGTACCTTCCGAGATCTCCAAGATAGATAATGAGGTGCCAAGTTTCATAAGCACATCCTTGCTTATCGAGTGCCTGCATCATTGACACAATGCGTGTTAGTGTATATATGTATATGAGAGTACGTATACAAGGCAGTGTGAATAACTCGCGAGAAACCGTCTAAACGTCTTATCAACCTTCATCGGATAATATCGGTGCCTGAACCTGAACGTAATGTTTATGAGTAATGGTTCGAGATCGTGGCAGTAAGGTCGGCACTGATGAACCGTACACGGAATTTGAGATTTAGATACAGGTATCGAACTTGTATCCTGCATTGTCGTTACGTATTATAATCCTAGCCTATCTAAATTTGTTCTGCCTAATATCGACTATTTAACTGTCAATTATTACGCAAATTCTATTCTTATGTCGAGGAATATCTCTAACACCTCCAAGTTATGTCTTTATACAAGCAAATGCTTGCTCATTCATGAAATCTTTCATTAGAGGTGTAATAAATATTTTCACATTGTGTGAAATATTCAATATTTATGTTACTGAATGCGATACTATGTGTATTATTTTCAAATAATATAACATAATTATTGTATTTCATATTTTATAAAGATGCTGATCACAAATATAGAACACATTATGTCATGATTGTGATGCAGATGGAAAAAAATGCATCTGCAATGGATGAGTGCGTAGATAAACATAGTTCTCTAATGAAGAAACATTACATTATAAACTCATATGTCAAATTATCAAGATTAAGTACATAACGGTTTACGCATCTCCTAATTAATAACATTGCGAGCATTTGTAATTAATTGCACATGTAATACACGTACAACAAAATTAATTATGTGAACGCTGGCATTGATAAAAGTACGATAACTTTTTATAGTGCAAAATGTACATTACTCTACAGGATATCATGACATGACTGTATAATAAATAAAATTGAAGAAAAAATAACAGAAGGGGAGAATCTCAAATTGTTAGATTCATCGATAGAAAATATCTTGCTCATTTAAATTAGGCAAACGCGTTGCTAGTCTATTTATCCACAAACATGTAAAGATCATCTACAAGGTCTGCATCTTGCAAGTGACAGATGGGCAGGGCTTTATCGAAACAACAAATAATAAGCACGCGGATGCTCTCGTCGATGTTTGCACTGTCGAAAGCCGATCGGGAGGTGTCGATAGGGTCAGACCTTATCGCGAATTCCAATACGCTCGATAAACATTCCGGCCTGAGAAGCCTGATTGCAGGAGGAAACCTACAATCGAAAGGCTCGTGCGGAGGAGAGGCGGAGGGTGAAAGGGCTCGGCCAGCGAAGGTGATTCATTAGTCGTACAACACGGAAGTGTTTGGACCCTCGACATGTTGTGCACGTACTTGTATGTGTGCGTGCCGTCTCAGGATCTCCGCGGCCAGAGCCAGGCTCGTCGTCTCCTTATTATGCGCAACGGGGGCCCCTCGAAACGAACGAGCCGGGCGTTTCGGGGCCGGTCCTCCAGCCTCAGACTTTAAAAGACGGAATATATCGCGATAATTCTTTCCGTTCTCGATCGCCCTTAAAACGCGACGTCACGTTGTCGTTTCTCCTTCCGTGACCGGAGTCATCCACCTCGCTCCGACAACTAATATGTACCCCGCAGGTGAAACGGATGCGGAGGGTCGGCCCCGAGGAGCAGAATGCTAGGGATTTCTTAAACACTGCACCGCGCGCGGCCCATTCTACCACCCCCTGTAGCTAATCTAGAATTTATGCCGCCTGTAACTTACCGAGGCGCACTTTATTACGTCCGGAATATGAGAATTTCATTTGCCGCGTGACTCGGCGACGATGTCGAACGGGTAACTTGATACGTCTCATGACGTGAATTCATGGTCACGTTAGAATTCCATCCGGTTCTATTAGGTGGTGCACGATATCGGGTTTTACTTCGCGTTTGGCACCGAATAGAATCGTTAAGCTCTGCGGACTTTATACAGGATTATAATATATTATGAATGTGTGTGCCTCTCTCTTTTGACAGCGGATGTCGGAAAGAATATTTTATCTATTGTACATACATAAATAAATTTCAATTCATGATGATTCCGAGAATACTATTACTTAATCGCGTTAAATATCACTCGTTAAATATCTCATCGAGCTGTCATTGGCAATTTTTAGAAACTCATACATTCTTCTATTCATCATTACTGCTCAGCATAAACATCGCCTAGCTATTTCTCGAATTATAAACGATAATTACTTCGCCGGCATGCGAGCAAAGTCATCGTCGCGTTGCTGCAGAATGCAATATCATGAACCTGTCCGCCCGTAAGATTACCAAGTGTCTCAGATTCCGTCGGAGCGTCTATAACTAATCGCGCGGAGTCTTCTCACGCATCGCAAGGACCGCGAATTCTGCAAATTGCTTCTACTTCCTGGTTCATCTCGACTTATTCTCCGCCTGCCGATCAAATGGTATATCCCGTATAATCCGGGGAATCCGCCGATCTTCCGCGCCAGCAGATTACGCGATGACGCCGAGCGTAATAGATCCCTGGAATTCTCTTCGCATACGCGAGCGAAATATATATTTTCCAACTGAAAGCATCTGCCAGTTTTCAGGTGCATCGTTTAGCACGACACGTCGGATAATAATCGGTCGATTAGCCTTATCGTATGCGGAAATCCCTCGTAAACGATCTAATTGCTTACGTCGTTAGTTAAGCTCGAATAAGCTCGTCGGGCGTATAATACGTTGATTATATATGTGCAAGATAATTTGAAGACATTTGGAGAAATTATAAAACATTTATCCATTTTATAATTTAGCAATATTGCAAAAACTAAGACTCTGATTATGAAGCTTTTACTTTATAACGATGCAAACAGATTAAATTGTGCAGGGTGGTAGGAAATGTCGAAAGCGGTTCTCCAGCGATACGTGAAATATTTAGATTAAAATATTTCTTTTTCATCTATAAATTACTTTATAATATAATGTCTGTTGGCGCTATATCATCTCCATCGATGTAAAACGTATCTCCTATCCTTCCACGATATTCTCGATCGTCCATTACATCCCACAAACCCCCATCAAACATTACGCCGCCAATTATGTGAGGAAGACGCTCGTCGCTTCCCGCGCATCGATTAATTATAATCCAATGGCCGAGCAGGCGAGAGAAATATCGGCATTCGTATTAGCGCATTCGTATATTTTGCGACGTATAGAGTCGAACAAAGTCGCGGAGGGATTATGTACGTGGACCTTCGCACGCCGGCAAACTTGCTGGCAGCGTGACGAGTCGCAAGTCATTCAGCATTCCTGTTGCGGCGGACTCGGAGAGTCGTGTGTGCTTGGTGGTGTGCTCGCTTCTCTCGGCGGTCCTTTTAGCCGGCAGCCAACGTTGGTCCCAAAAGGACCGAAACGCGAAGCCGGTCTCGAGCGACCGCTCTCGCATGAGCTCACGTACGGGCGCGAGAGGTCGACTACGAAGAGTAATGCGACTCGAGATGTGGAGAACGCTTTCGTTTGAGTCACGAAACTAACGATATCGCGACAATTATTGCCAGCTTGGAACAATGCGCGCGAAACAACAGCGATACGAGACGTTCTCTATTAAAGTAGCACGCTAGCTGTTCATTAAGGAAGCGAACACAATGGCATAAACTTGGATGAGTGTCTAACTATTTAATTATATATATATATGTACGAGTTCCGTTAAAATATTGGATGGGAACTAGATTAGCTTTATCGAAACGCATTAAATATATCTCTCACTATTTTTTTTAGATATAGTAATCTGACAACTGACTTAATTTTTTTATATAATTTTAGATATAGTAATCTGACAACTGACTTAATTTTTTTATATAATTTTATATAATAATTATGTAATATTTTTTATATATTTTATTATTTTAATATTTTCCAGGATAATAATTTTTGTATAATAATTATGTAATTTTTTAATATAATTTATATACGATTTACGAAGATGATTAATAATACATCACCCCTTTTAGCAATTTTTCATGACTTAATAATCTGCAGAAAATTCAGATTACTATATTCTTCCACAATTTCCTAACATTCCAATAATTTTGATCTTACCGGTGTCTCTTGAGCTCTCGCCGGATGCTGCTGCGTGTACGAATAAAGCGCAAGGCGCCGCTGCCGAGAGAGTTGCTCCGTTTCTCCCCTTTGTCCAAGGTTGGCAACCACTGGTCCGGTTGCAGTCCGTTGTGCACGCCGTCATCCATATCTGTCGCACCCTGGATCACCGCGTCGAAAGCTTACGCTGAGATTGTCCTACCGATTTATGTTCTTCATGATCTCGCAGAATTTTCCACCCTGCATCCGGAATCGTGAGTACAACCGAGCGCGAAGAAGACGATTCGCTCGATTCTGTACACGACGGTGTGTAACGGCCTTTAATCTCTAACGGATCGGTCAAACTTCCCACGACGCCGCCGATCGTCCCTTCCTAGTGAACATCGATCGCGCCGTAAAAAGTAAAGCGCCGATCGATGATCGGTTTATCTTTTCCCTCGGAAAAGCTCTGTCAAACCGCTTATGTCATCGGTAATTATACGTAATTTAATAATAAAAAAAGCTGTGCTCGACGTTGTAGGGTCCAATGATGCCTCCTCCAATGGCGTTCTCTATCGGGTTCGACAGGAAAATGTTATCCGCACGTTCGAGGCATTATCATAAATACGGAAAATGAGTATCCGTTAAACGCGACCGGTCCTTATATTGTTTATGAGCGCGATCAACGCCGCGGTCGATTACATAACGGCCGTCGTCGTTATACACGCATGCA